AAAACAAAGTTAGCTAATTGCAATTTTGTAGAGTATGTAAGTGCTATGATCTTGAATAGAAAAAGCACCAAGGATGCTCAAAACAGTTTTCAATTTATAGAGTCATTTGCAGGAAGAAGAGGTGATGAAGGAAGGAGAGATTTCCCCTGCAATTCAAAAATTCTCTAAGTAGAGAGTATTAGGGCATCATCAGCTTGCAAGACTATACCCACAGGGATGCTGTATACTTATGGTACCCACCTCCAAAAAAAGCCTACTTTATTGGCACCTGGAAAGGAACCCATTATGAACTGATTTTATCTGGAACAGTCATCTTGGCAAATTAGTATTTTTCTCTCACTAGATCTCAAAGTCCTTTATTAAGGAATCCATTAGAGATAACCCACAGCATTATTATTATTTTTTGTCACAGCTACTTCTCTGTGAATTTGTCAGCGAACAGTACCTATTAGAGCAAACTGTTTGTTTTTTCAGACTAAGCATAACTTAGCAAGATTTCCACAAGGATGATGGGAAAAATTCTATACTCTCAGTGATCATCAGTCCTTCTCTACCTAAGAGAACCCTCAGAAGGTGTTTCCTCCTTTAACCTAGTCTATCAGAAGCTGCTGTTTTGTTCGGTTGTTTTTTGCTTTTTATTATTGGCATTTGAAAAAACAAAACAAGATCTCTCAATCATTCTTAGAATGCCCCAAAGAAAATTTTCTCTACTTCTGACTCCTAGGATCTTTTCCATTGGTTGTATTTTATCAGTTGTTAATTGTATGTCTGATGAGAAGTTAAAAGGAAATTATAAGCAAAACCAACATACATGGTGTATATATATTATATTTTGTGAATGCAAAGGACTTGTATTAGTTTATTGGTCTGAACTATTTCTGTATTCATTTTAAACAGTAAAAGATGTATTTTAATGAATCTGTTTTAAAATTAAGGTGAATCTACAACAGAAAACAGTGGTCTTTGTTCAGCACCTTTGTAAAATCCAGTATTCAACTACAGCATTTAATTAAAAATGAACCCTGAAGTATAATTTTCTTGTTGCCTGTGAGAGATAAGAGTGTGATCTGCAAAGAAACCACTTACATAATACACATTCCCATCACACCTCTCAGAAAGAAACATTTCAGAGCCAGTCTTTTGAAGGCAGAAATTGAGAGGGATCCAAGCCATATGGAAAGAGCAATGTCTAGGTTTGAGTTAATTTGATTTAATTTTTGTGAAAAATATGATTTTTTTCCAATTACACATGCACATAAAATTAAGCACATTAAGTGAATATGACAAGAAACAGCAAAATTTCCCTTCAGCATCTGTGTGAATTAGAGAAGTGCACCGGCTCTGCCTCACTAGAATAGAAAGTGTAGTTTCCAGTGAAGTAAGTGCAGCACACACAAAAAACCCAAAAAGATAAAGTTCACCATATAGTCAATGTTTATCTACATAACTGGTCATTTTTAAAAGTACAGCTATATAAGGAGCTGTTGTCTCTACGTGAATGCAGCCTAATGAGTAAAATCCAGTGGGCTTGTCCTTATTTGCAAAGGAGGAGTTGCCAGTTTTACCCACAAAGGGACAATTATTATACAATGAGACAAGTCTTTTATTACATCAGAATGTTCACTGGTCAACAAAAAAAAGTATTATTAATTATTATATGACTGAAGGAGAGAATTTCTAGAAAACTATTTTGATTCTGCCTAAGATCTTTGGAGAATAGTAAATTAATATTGAAATAGCTCTATAGGGAATTTTAAGACTG